CACACAGACAGGGTCGTCCCAATATGCGTTTTTGCAATTTGCATATAAGCAAAAACGCATAAAAACGACCGGGCTTCGTGCTAAAACTGGTAATCATGTACCTGGAGGTCCGTGCAACTCTATCATGCACTACCTTCATCCAACTCGGCGCCCTTCCTCCTGCAGGCCGAAAGGGGTAAAAGTACGTCCAATATGAGCCCAAGTGTTAAACTACAGCGCAGGGATCTAATAGCACATTGGCGACCACTGAGTTTAGTGCAGTAAAAACGCATGATCGCACCGGCAAACCTGATGCATTCGAGCCTGAGTTATTGGTTTATTAAGCATACATAAAAATGCATTTTTTCCGTGGCAAGTAGGAAGAAACGAGCACGCTATTTATCACACTGCCGGCACTAACACCAAACACATCAGTCGTTGTTAGAAAAGTTCTATAGAATTCGTTGATAGCGTATCAGAATACCTCACTTTCTCGAACTTGACTTTGGGGATTGATTGGTGAATTAATATAATACGACTAGTGAGAAGCCTCACTTTATTGTTGCAAAAATTTGAAAAAAAAAACTCCATTTCTGCCGTTTCCTCACAAAGGCCTAATATCCATACTGCTTCATCCGCTGCTCTTTATTCTTTTCGTTTAGTACGAACAACATAGAGGGATTTAAAAAGCTGACTACTTAAAAAAAAAAAAAAAAAAAAAACTATCAACTTGAATTTTAGAGATCGCTGTTGCCCTACGGAGACTCTCTGTTTCTTACAACAAATCTGAATTTTTCTTTTACATTGTTTAAAGCACATTTGCAGTTTCAACACATGCCGTGATGAGAGGATGCGTGGATCGCTTTCTCCTCTTCGGTATCGACGAAGATGTTCGGGATGCGCTCGCTGAGAAATCGGAGTGCCGCGCAACCGATCGCCGTCTTCTGCATCTCGTCTCGCTCACTCCCCAAACTGACCTCGTATGCAGCTTCTCAGATAATTTACAGTACTTCAGGATAAAGCAAGTGTCCACTATTGGTCGGGTAACGAATAATGGCTTAAACGAGGGCGCGTTGAGGCAAAAGGAGAAAGGTGACATGGCGTGGCAGGAAGGGGTCGAGAGAAAAAGGCAAGAGTAATGAGGAAATTTTGCCAACAAAGATGAAGACAGAAGTGTGGTCGTACTAGAATTTCCTTATATTGAGAGTTCCTAGTTCAAATGAAGCTTCTAAGAAAAAAATTCAGGTAAAGCCGAGTATTTATAAGCTTTTCACCTGGAGAGGTGTTCTGGAAAGGAAAACAAAATGAGCCTCATAATTTTTACTGCACTGTGGTTGGCTCCTGTGGAAAAATTTTTCAACATTCTGGCTAGAACCTGATGGCCCTTGCATGGTACTTCCAGTTTTACTGTTCCTTTGCACCTCGCAAACTTGGCTCTCTAGTTTAACCACGATTAGCTCAGCGAATATTTTTAGCAAAAGGCCTGCAAGTTCTGAACTGAAGGATGTTGTTGAACATACTGTAGAAGTGATGTCAGCCAGCTTCAGGATGTCTCTAACATTTACACGGTTTTGATCTTCTTTTAAGTGATAATTCGTTAAAAATAAAGAAACTAATCAGACAACGTATCAAATGAACACACTTAATTTCTTACTTTATTTTTGTGCATAATTGCCTAGCCATTTCAGGTAATAATGTGCTCATGCGCGGGTTCTCTGTGCAACAATGCCAGAATGGAGAGCGCTTTCTCAGCAGCTGCTTCCCGGGAAGCAAACCTGCTTCTTGTCCTGCCTCTGTTCATTTTCCATCAAACAATGCTATATCTTAGGATATTCTGTTAGTATACGTCTCGTGTATTTGTGTTTTCATTTTATGGGTGAAGATTGAATGTGAGACTGGATGATATCTTCAGTAACACCAGATCCAGCCCAAATTTACCACAAGGATTAATTTCATAAGCCAGTAAATTAGTCATCTGACAAACTAATAAACCCGTGCGTCCTTTTTTATCAAAACTTCAAGAACACGACTTCAGAAATTTTACTTTCCATACAGCCGAACACATGTGGGTTACAAATTTCCTTCGCCAAATCGTTGAATCTGGACGAAATGATGGCATTCTAAAGCACATTCTAAACACTCCTTTGACATGTACGACACATCCCAGTATTTTGCGACAAGGAAAGTCTTTTCCAGACTAACGCATTCCATTCTACGTTTTTGCAAATATAAGAAAGTTATTAGTAATACCTCCTTATTCGGTTTGTTATCATCCGTCCCCTCTCTAGTGTTTCATTGAGATATCAGGTGAGCTCCACATCCAGTCTGTGATTTTATAGAACTTTGATGACTGCATAACTGTTTAACTGTTTATGTAAGTTCAGTCGAATTGCGTCTTATCACAAATTGCTTAACAGTGCGCTAGGTTCAGCATGATCAATAAAGTTCTCTGCGCAAAGCATTCGATGAATTCGGGACAATTTAATAGTGTACCGAGCACATGACGAATAGTATGCCCAGGTAGCGAAGCACCGGTATTACCGGTGCAATTATGCATTTTAGAATATTTCCATCTTGGACAGAGATTGCTCGTGATGGGTGTGTGACTGCGATGTCACATTTTGAAAATTTGATGCTTCTGTACACAGGGTTCAAGCCTAGGCAGAATATTGTCTTATGCTTGTTGTCCGCGCATAAAAACAAACATCTCCAAAAAATGCTGCTTCCTGCTCAGTTTCCAGATGTCCTGAACCAAATATTTAGCAGTGTCCCAAACTAAACATCCACTTGCACTTACATGTCTCCTAGGCGCTTATTGACATTAAGTCTGAAATCCTGAATTCACAGAAGGATATAGAACATATATGCATTTATATACATATATAATTATTCATCCCCTAAATATTATTCATCCCTAAATCCATATCTTAAATAACAAACCTATTTATCAAAATTCTCCATTGTTTCTTCTTTTTCTTTTTTGCATCCATACTGTAACCCAACCCTATACCCCCATGGGATTTTGTACAAACACAAAAGCTAGTGCTGACGTGTACTTTGATAAAGTGATTAATGTGTTTTGTATCCAGCGACTAAGCTGGATACAAAGGAGGTAAACATGGCCGGACATGACCTCCTCTTAGGGGCAGAACCAATCTTTCCCCTATATAACCCCGGGTTCGTCTCCCACCAATTCTACCGGCCCTCGACCAGGTCTTTTTAATTGTCATGTTGTTCAACTCACTTATTTTTTTTTAGCCAACTTTAGATAAATTGATTATTATAAAAACCACGCTTCGCGCTTCATCTTGCCTAGTCACAACGACCCC